ATTTTTTTTTTTTTTTTTTTTTTTTTTTTTTTTTTTTTTTTTTTTTTTGTACACCCGGCGCCATTGGGTTAATAGTGTATGGGGATTTAGAGATTGATCTTCAGCATTGGGATGGACCAAGGCAACTATACATTAGATGCTTGTAAAAAAGTATTACCTTGTGTAAGTCCTAGTAATATACTAGTTAGTCCCACTGCATTTTATTTCATACTTGATACTTCATATTCTTCCTCAATTATTACCATATTTTTAAACACTACTTTAACCCCTTGGTGCTGGGTATGACCTGTACGTACGTGCTATGCCCACAGTGAGTACTTGTTTGATTGTTTTTACGCATAGATGGCAACATCTGTACTAACTCCCCAATGAGCCAGTTACGAGCACCGCTCGTCTCGCCCATTTACCCGTTTCTTTGATTTACAAAATATTTTACGTAATCTTATTTTGCTGTTACTAATGTTAAAAAAAAATTATAAAAATTATAATGTTTATGATAAAAATAACACCATCGATTTTCATAGCACTAGTGAAAAATAGGTTTTTCCCGCCATTTAAATCAGGCGCTAGCAGAGCCATCTATCGGCAGACATTTCACGAAAAACATAGAAAGTGGGCACAATATTTTCCCCATTTTTTGTTCATTTTTCCCGGCACCATTGGGTTAAATAGTTTCACAAGAAACAAACCTTGTATGTCAGGAAAAGTATCTCAGGTAATGAATGTTACACTTATTTATGTATGAATATATGCTGATGGGACTTTTACTTTTTACTTTGTTTACAAAATGTCACAGAATACAAGTTGTGTTGCAATGACATACCTAAGGCAGGGTACACCACCGCCATCTAGTTGTTCCAAGCCAGTATGAAAGCAATGATTGACCTGATAGAGAAGAGCCATGAGCTTTACACAGACAATTGATATTCCGCTCCACTGTTCCAGTGGAAGGTGCTGTTGGCACAGTGCATTGCAACAGAAAGCACATGCCAATACTCACTGTTGTCTACCTCCCACTAGCAAGATGGTCACTTTGAAACTGCCAGGTTACTGAGCTAACAAAGCTCTAGGTAATAGCAGACTACTAATTTGAGATAAGGGGTGTTGACCTGAGTAACCAGTCATACCCAGCAGCCAGGAAAATTAATGCAGTAAGACCAGTCACATTAATCAGGACCTGTTAAAATTTTCACTCATGCCAAATGATATCTAACCATGTCATTAGTCCAGTCCCAGAAGCAGAGATGACTACAGAAGCATGGCTGTACAGTACCCTAGGTGTGGAGCAGCATGTGCTAATGTACTCCAGCCTCACTAAACTTTTATCAAAATGTTCCTCATTGGAAATGGGGTAACAAATTCATTTCTTTAAGTAATGCCTACTTGTTAATGATAGGGATTCATTTACAGTCCAGTTTGTTTTGCTTATATATAATTATTTTCTAAAATATTTTCATCTTTTTTGTCTCTACTGCAGGTCATGGGAGGCTTGGGAAACGGGTTACCGGAGAAGCCAAAGCCATCACTTCTGTCTTCTCAAGCCCACTGTTGTCCACTTCCCTCCAAGCTCCTCTGTCCTTCCAACAGTCACCCGGGACACCTGGACACCTGCTTCTCTAGCCTCTCTGGCCAGACATGTGATTCCATAACACATAAAGAGCCTTAGACTATCAGTGGGGCTCACTTTCTTTGAGTGACACTATCTTGTATTTTGGACCTCAAGATAGATATTTAATAGAGCATATAATTTTTGTTGTTGTGAATAGGGAGTTTTCCTATTGAATCCCCGTCTTGGGTTCACAAATTCAGGATTGTGTCACCGGGTCATGCAATATTTGAGATCAACATGTAAAGTAAGGTACACCAGTAAGTTCTTATTTCTATTGTCTAATGTGGAGACTGTTCTGCAGGCAACTTGGAGTGAATTGTGAGGCAGATCATTTTACATAAGGATTATCATTTCAGCAACTAGTGTACTATATATATATATGGAAAAAAAATAATTGTTTTCTTTTATTTCCATTATCATATTTACCTTTTTTTTTCTTTTGAAACTTTTATTTTATGTGGAATTGTAATTGCTTTTATGTCTTGACTGAAGCTTTCTGTTTACTGGTTATGCTTACTTTCCAGAAACGATCTCAAATTGCAAGTACAGAAATTGGTCCTTTTATCAGCACTGTGATTGTTGGACTATGTAGGTGGCTCAGTAATCAGACATCATATACATATTTGGTGTTATTAAGTTTCTGTATCTTACTTACCTTTCACACTATAATTTATGATAAGAATATCTCTTTTGACACATAAGGATAATATCCCCAATGATCACTTGACAAGTTCCTTCCGTAGGAGGCTATTTAATTGTATCCACCATTTTGTTTTTCAATAGTTTTTTTCTGTATAAAGGCTTTACTGTAGCCTGTATTACTTTCTCAGACATTCCTTTTCATGTTAGGCATCCTATATCTATTGGATACTTTTTTAAAAAACTAAAATCAGTATTTTAGGAGATGTTTAAGAATAAAAAAATCATGAAATTTTTTACTTCCTGTCAATTCAAAAAATTAAGATATCAGATGTCATTACAGTAGGGCAGTGCCTAAGTACTTTGATAAATTTTTGAATATGGAATTACCCCCCTAACTATATGGGCTAAGGATGAATAAGAATTTATTAAGGAAGAGCTTTCAGTAATTTATGTAAGATGCTAGCTCCACACAAGCCCCGAGAAACAGCAGGGAAGCTAATGCTCAAGACATATCTATTAACATTTTTACCATTGAAAAGCAATTTTTTTTTTTCTAAGTTTAGTTTAATAAATATTATCAGTGAATTATTGCTTTACTTTAGGAATAGCACTCACTGCTCAAGGTTAAAAATAAACTCTAGGGGATACTAGTTCATTTTACTTTATTTTGAGCAGTGCGTAAACTCACAAGTTTCTGGCAACTAGAGGTATCCCAACAGTTTCACCAGGAAACAAGACAGGATTGATTTGGTTAAAGAAACATGGCCCTTTCTCATTAGGTTAAAAGATAATAGTGGATTGATGAAAAAGGAAAAGTATATATATATATATTTATGTATGTATGTAAACCCTTCCATATAGAGAACAAAATGTCACCCTCTTCCTCCCATGAACCCTCTTATGAGGTCATAGAACTTTGTTTCTGACTGATGCTTGGCCATTTGGCATGTCTTGGGTAAATTCTAAACGTAAAAAGAACCATTGTTTAGTGCATGGAATGTAAATAAATTTCATGGGGATATGTGTAGTAACACATCTCTTCCAAGAGATCCCACTATCTTCAGTTAGCATGCCTGTTGTAAGGGTCTTGGAGACTTCCATCACAGTTTACTACAACCAAAACATTATATATAAAAGACATTTTGGATATGCTCCCAAGTTCCTGAAGATTATGCTTTACACAGCAGATTGAAGACAGCCAGACATCACTCAGAAGGAACCCAAAATACCCCAGTGTGTCCTTCACACAACAAAGAAAAAAGACATAATAAAGGAGGAGTAACAAACACATTAAATATAATAGATCATGAGTTGCCAGTTCCATGAGTATCCACTGCTTTTTTGTGATAAAATGTAGTCTGTTTGTTTTTTCTCTATGCTCAAAGATTTACAGGTCTATTCATTTCTACAGGTTTCAATATCTATAACATTGAAAAATTAAAAATTAATTTGATTTTTTGAAGGGATGGTCAGTCTCCAGTTCTGATGTGTGCGTAAAGTATATGGTTCTCATGTAAGAAGTTGGGTAATTCACTGGTTTTAATATTTGAGATTTCTTTTCCCTTTGGCAGCAAGGGGGGAAATGTTCATCAGTGCAAACTACTGAATTATCTACTTTCCCAGTGTGACCAACAAAGCCCCTTTTCCCTTTACTGTGAGTTTTGGGATATTGTTATACAAAGGGTGAGAGTGAGCAATGTCTACAGTTACTGATAGATCAGCTTTTGTGAATTATTTATACAATTGCACTCATTCAGCAAAGCTCAAGTTGTCATATGTTTTCTATTGGAAAATTGGGCTTTTTGAAGCTGTGTGTTCCAAGTTGGCAATTGCTGATCTAGAATTTTATAAGGGTAAATCCAGAAGGATTAATTATAATGAGTCAGACCGATGTTGGAGCTCAAGTCAGCACCCCTTCCCTCTTCCCCCCTTCACCATTTAGTTGCTCCAACACCGGGCCTGCTCAAAATTGGTTCCTTTTTGGATCACCCTCTGTCTCACTGCTGGCACCCGTCCCACCTTGGCCATCCAGGCATACAAATGTAGAACACCAGAAGACACTGAGAACCTGAATTTATCTATATGAATAAAAAATTGAATGTATGAAGTTTTTGAACCAATAATTTGAATGTACCAAACTATTGAACCTCCTTTTGCACCTTCAAAATTTCTCACACATGACACAAATCTTACCTGAGACCTGGGTGAAAAAAGACTTGACAGTACAGCAGTTTACAATGTGGTATTACCACTCCAAAGGTTAGCACTGTCTTCTGTTTGTGGTCTTAAACTTCACATCCAGGTGCCCTCATCACAGGTTAGTATACGCAGGGGTGTAGCTTTGTATCTAGAGTAGCATGGAGCAGTTTTGTACAAGAACTCAAAATAAGTTTTTAATAAAACTGACGGAAGTCTTTTATTAACCATTTGTAATTTATATAGATATATTTTTTGGTCCTTTTTAGATCAAGTTAATAAATAATTAGAATGAGGCATGGATCTTGATTTACTACCACAAATTAGGTGATTTTTAAAAAATACCTGGAAATGTTTTGGCAGATACAAGGTAATGCCTGTCAGTGTAAATAAACTTTATAGTGCTTATAGGGGATTATTTGCTAAAATTAAATCCTTTTGGACTGAAAAGAAATAATGATGAGTTTGAAATATAAAGTTACAGTAAGTTAAAGATCTCTCTTGAGAAGCATATCAGTTTTTCAAGATAGTGGAAACTACATTGACATTTTTCCAAGACACAATCAATTATATTTGTTCTGTTATATTGACTTAAAATATGCTAAAATGATAATCTTCAACTGAAGAAAAGTCCGGGAAAGTAAATTGTAATTTCATCCTAAAACTGATCAAGATTTGAAAGAGACATAACCTAACTTGCTGATTTACCTGATACTTGTAGATAAATAGTCAGATATTTAGGATATGAGGAGAGGGATATACAGTACAATCTCCATAGTTTTAAGCTTAGCATATTAGGCTCCAAGGCCAAAGAATGACAATTTATTTCATAATTTATGCAATGATAATACTTAATTTCATGTTTTGGATGTAATTACAAAGAGGTGGGGACGAGTCATAGACCAGCATTATATATGGTAACTTTACAGTAATGTAAAGTAAACCTGTTGGTAAATGGGAATGCAAGGGAAAGGGGAGGACTTGGTAGTACTTTGAAGGACAGAGTTGATCAGCATTCCCCTCCAATCCCTTGCTCCTCATTGCCATGGGGGCTTAGAACACGGAGTCTGAGGCTGAATGTAGGGATCACCCCTGCCTTGGACCTTAGTCCTCCCTTCAACCTATTTTGCATGGTCTTTTCTTCTCCTTTCCTTTTACTTCTCTTCTTCATCCCCTTCTTCTGTTCACTTATCCTAATCTTTAACGTATTTTTACCCTTTTCACCTCAATACTTTATCATAATGCTATAAGACACTTTGTCTAGCACATTTATTTCTTTTAACCATTAACCAATATGGGAATTCACAGACATTGCCTTATGAACCAAAAGTTTCCTTATTCAGGGGCTTTGCCCCCAAACATCACTGTATCACTGTATTTTGAATATACTGCCAATGACCTTAGATGTTGACGGAGAAGAAAATTTTCATTAATAAAAATTATAATTGATCAGCATTGTATCTGAAATGTCATTCTATTTCCTATGTCTTGTGAAAGTAAGCAAGGGGACTTGACCCATCAGCTGCAGATGTTTGTTCTATTCATTATTTTTCTTTTGTAAATTTTGTTTCACAGATGTCTCTACAAGTGCCCAGCCACCAAGGAGTCCATTGGTTGGGCCCTAGTGATGTTGCCTGATTTCCCCATTCCATGAATTTGTGGGTTTTGTTTTTATTAATATTTTTAATATTATTATTATTATTATTATTATTATTATCATCATTACTATTATTATTGTTGTTATTTTTTCTAATATAATACTATTAATGTTGATAATGTTTTTGTTATTATTATTATTGTTATTATTATCATCATTATTATTACCATCATCATTATTATTATTATTATTATTATTATTATTATTATTATTTAGAGTATCATTATTATATTATGAAAGTACTACTACTAATAAAAATAAAAGGAAAAGGAATCTTTCTGAAAATCAAGGAAAAAGGTAAACAGGTGAGATAGGTAGGACTAAGGATTGACTCCAAAGTGACTTAGCTCTTGTGGAGTCATGTCATTGTAAAAACAATTGATAAACTAAAATTACAATGGACAAGAGATTTATGTCATGCTCTCTTTAAGCAATCAGTAGGTTGTAAATGTTCATGTTTTTGTTCACTCTCATCCTTTCACAGGTGTGTTTAGTGTTGTTCACTAATTTGTCTAGGTCCTCCATTCCCCCCTCCCCGCAATCCCTTGTTCATTGTTATGGGTTAGGCTTAGGAGAAGGGACTGAAGCCCAATGTAGGGGATCACCTCTGCCTTGGACCTTAATCCTTGCCTCACCTAATTCTGCATGGTCTTTCCTTCTCCTTTCCTTTTCCTTCTCTTCTTCATCTCCATTTTCTGTCCAATTATCGTAATTGTTAACTCATGCCCTTTTCACCACAAAACCTTATGGTAATGCTCCTTACTCCCTTAACTCCTTCCCCTTCTAACAACCTTTACCTTATGGTATGCCCCATCAGCTCCCCCTCTCTACCCTGTTCACTACCATACTACCCTCTAATATTGTTCAAACTCATTCCTAACCCTTTTTGCTACTTCCTCATGCTTTTTGAATACACTGCTAACGACCTTGGATGTTGACATGGCAGAAAATTTTCAATAAAAAAATATAAAAATCTTCCCTTTTCCATACTTAGATGGAAATTGATTGATGATAACACGAATAATGATAATGCTAAGCCTTTTCTTCAGTTGAATAAAGAATTTATTTGTTTTAATCATCAAACATTCAGGGAATCCACAAACATAACCTTATGAACCAAAAACTTCCTTAAGCGGAGACTTCAGCCCCAAACCCAACTTTATCACTATATTTTAAATTTGTGCTAATGATCTTAGACGTTGACACGGCAGAAAGTTTTCAATATATAAATAAAGTTGTGCTGGATAGCATGATGTCCATAGCATGTCTACTGTGATTTTAGTTTACTGATTGTATTTTACACATAGGTGGTTCCAGCTACTAGTAGTACCAATCTCATCAGCATACCCTTTTCCTTGATGTTCAGAGTATTTTTTAGTATTGCTATTAGTATTTC